GGCAGGCGGTTGTCAGTGTCCGTTCCCTGCGGATCCCGGGAAATGTGGATTGGGGCTTGGAAGGCAATAGCGGGGCTGACCTGGGCATCCCGCACCCTCCGTCCCCCCTCTCCTCCCTGCGCCCACCACGCCGATCCCTCCAGCTGCCTCCGTGCTCTCAGCACTGGTGATGCTTGGGGTCAAATCCTGTTGGCAAAATATAACCCCAGTCCGTCGGTGAGCTCCTGCCTGGACCGCAGGGCTCCGTGTGCCACGGGGCAGGGGCAGGAGGCTCAGCCATGGGGTGCGATGGGGAGATGCAGATTTTTGTCCCAAGCTCCTCTGTGGACCCGCTTGGTGGCTGTGGGTGTGGCGATGCTTCTCTCCAAACATCTCTCCAGCTTTTCCACGCTGGGAGAGAGCAGCTCTTACCTCAAGCAGGGACCTGTGGCCAAAACGTTATCGGGAGGAGGTGGCAGCAAGTCGCGCCGGGGCTCCGTGCCGGAGGCAGAGATGTGCCTGTGCTGGTGATGCAGCGAGGATCGGCTCTGCCCCCCCCAAAGTGTCGCCTTGAAAATACCACGCGGGACTCAGCAGAAGGGAGGGGAACCTAGTGCCCCTTTCTTGGGTCCCTGCCACTGCCGCCGCCGTGCCAGTCCACTCCGGGGAATTACCAGCAGATTCTTAATTAAGTGGGAGGCTCTGGCCACCTTCTCGAAGGCAATCTCTGGGGATGCATCCAGGGGCGAGAGAAGGGGGATGCTGACGGCTGAATCTGAGCTTGGCTGTTTCCCAGTTGGATTTAAAAATTAAAAACCACTTTCTTGGGTCCCTGCCACTGCCGCCGCCGTGCCAGTCCACTCCGGGGAATTACCAGCAGATTCTTAATTAAGTGGGAGGCTCTGGCCACCTTCTCGAAGGCAATCTCTGGGGATGCATCCAGGGGCGAGAGAAGGGGGATGCTGACGGCTGAATCTGAGCTTGGCTGTTTCCCAGTTGGATTTAAAAATTAAAAACCAAAAGAAAAAAAAAAACCAAACAACACCACGTAATTTGGGATGCTTAATGATGATTCTGCCTCCCTGGGTGTGATCGGGGTTTTCTGTGGAGGTTGCAATGGGTACCAGTCTGTTCGTGCTGCCAGTGGGCCGTGGGCATCCGAGGGCGCGCGGCTCTGAGGATGCAGCCGCCGATGCGGCTCCGAGAGCCAGCGATGGCGTGTGAACTGGGACGGCTCTGGGTGCGTGAGGGCCACACAGCAGTTTCCAGTTGTCTCTGGGGCTGTGGGAGACCAGCAATGGGTGTTTTCCGAACGAACGGGGCTTTCCTTTGCTGCCACTTTCTCCCGTTTCACCTCGGTTTCTCCCTTCTGGAGAAGAGATTCCTCCTGGCGCGCTTCGAGTTTGACCCACGTGGTGTTGGTGGGCAAAGCGTGAGAGGACGAGTACCTGGATATTGCAGGACCCTCCATGGCACTTTACTCTGTCTCTTTGCTTTACCCCCCAGTGAAATTTAACCTGTTGGTGTGTTGAGCTCTTTAAAGAGCTGGTTGAAGGAAAACCTGAGGAAAACCTTTGATGGAACAGGTCTTGGTGCTTCCACTGCTCGGGCGGAACAAGGGACTGACCCAAGATGCTCGTCTGCGATGTGGCTCCGTGATGTGGGTCCTGTCGCAGCCTCCTGTTACAGTCTGGTTGCATCAGTGGGTTTTTCCCCCTCCAGTGAGCCCAGCCCACAGCTGGGGAGGGTTTACTGAGAGCATCAAGAGATTTCAAAGGTCTCACTTTGCCTCCTGGTTCTGCAGAAGAGCCATCAGATCCTCACGTTCGCTGGTTTTCGAGGGCTGAAGGGTAGAGTGGGGTCCCAGTAGTGGGATGCTAAAATCCCCGTTATCACAGATAGCAGCGTCGGCGCAGAGCAGGAGGAGGGTGACGCCAGAATCCATCCCTGGGACTCACAGTTCCTCTCCCCTTGCAGCCCTGCAGCTGTTCGCCCTTCTCTCTCCACCCCCAATTCTTTTTTTCTTGTTTTCTTTTTTAATTAAAAAAAAAAAAAGCACCACAGCACATGGGCAAAAACCATCCAGATTTGCAAACAGACAGTTTTTTACCAGGTCAATCAGTCCGCTCCGGCTCACCTCAAGGATCTGGGAGGCTCCTGCCTTTGGCAAAAGACGAGCAGCAGCCGTGAGAGCTGTTGCTTTCTCCCGCGAGCTGGAGATGCCGGGGCTGGTCCTTGGCTCCCACCTGCCCGATGGGCACGAGCGCTGGTCCTGGCTGGCGGCCGAGGTTGGGCGAGCGGAGGTTGTGAGATCCCTTCAGCGGCGCGGGAGGGAGGAGCTCCTGCCTTTGGCACATCGTGAATAAAAAGCCGAGGAATCGCCTTCTCGCGGAGTTATTTATTTGGAGTAAAGCTCTGCCCGGCGCGGAGGGGGGAACGGGCAGAACCGGGCTGTGGCGTTCGGTGGTGCGGAGAGTGGCATTTCGCCACAAGGATTTCGATGCAGCAGGACTTGCTTCGAGGAAAGAAAATAGCGGGGTTTATTTATTCGTGACTTCCTCTGTAATTCTAACCGCTGCCGAGCGGATTGGAGCAGGGGCTGCTCATCGGAGAGGGAGGTTTCCGCCCGCTGTGGGGCAGCTCCGTGTCGAGCCAGACCTCGCTGAAGGGTGATGGATGCGGCCCCGACGCCGCTCTCCCCGGGCAGGCTGGGCGCCGATGGAGATGGGCGAGGAGTCAAGTGTTTGGGGTGCTGGCTCATCCCGGGATGTCGTGGGATCCTGCTCTGCTTCGTGCAGCTCACCCGGTTGGGCTGATAAAAGACCCGTCTCTCCCTCCGAGCGCGGCCTCGTAGGGATTTAATATCCGTCAGCGATGGCAGCCGTTAGGAGCGGCAAATAATCCCGGTGGTGTGGTCGCGGTGGGAGGAATTACCGGTTAATTAACGTAGTCATAAGAGCGCAGTGGCCCCGGTGAGGCGCAGAGCAGACCCTCACTTTGCCCGGCCGGTGCAGATGCAGGTGATGCTCTGCCGGGGCGCTCCAGCAAGCTCAAAAAAGGAAAGCTGATTCTTTTTTGAATTAACTTTTTTTTTTTTTTTTTTTTTAGGGACAGAAAATTAGATGCCACCAGCAGAATTATGGTGTGAGGACATAAATGGCTCTTTTCTCTCCATAGCACATTTGATTCTGGTCACGTATGTGCAGAACACATGCTCTGCCCGTGCAGATGCTTGTAGCTATCTGGAGAAGTTTCCGTGGCAGGGGTGGGCGGTGGGAGACCTACAGGGTTTCCTCTATCACTTCAGATCCTTTTGACCTTCCCTGGACTGTGACATTCTTCGCATTCTGAGTTTCTTCATCTCTCTCCCATTCGTTTTGGGATGCGGATTAGCATGGAAACAAGAGATCTGGTTTCAGAGCGCGCTCCCCCTCCCGCCCCGGCCCTTGCTTCCTGCAGCCCCCCACAACACGCTGTGATTTTTAAGGGTTGGGTTGGTTTCTTTATCCCCATCCACCCAGTTTGCATCTGTAGTAGTGACAGATTTTGGTGTTTCAGAGCCTCCCTGGTGGCTGAGCTGGTGGGAGCACTGAAAATATCTTTTTTTTTTCTTTTTTTCTTCTTCTCTGTGTTGTGCTTCATTTTGACTTTTGGAGGGGAGAGCCACTGCAAATCTGGCCATCCCATCCCTCTGGTCTGAACCTTTGGGAAATCTTTGGTGACTTTGGGAAGTATCAGTTCTGGTTTTGTTTGAAACCACCCATCCAGGCCAGCCCTTTTGGGGATTTTGATGTGTGTGGGTTTGCACCGGCAGCACGGATCCGAGGGGATGCTCGAGGCAGCTGTTTTTACCTCGCAGGATGAAGGGGCTGAGGAGGAATCCTTACCTGTGTGGCTAAATGATACCGATGGCTTTGGGCCATTTCATGCTGAGATGATTTCTTCTCACTGACAAATGAGCTGAGCCACCTTCTGAAGTTGTGTAATTAGAAGATAAGGATCTGGAATCTCATTTTCGCTCTTTTTTTGGGATTATTTCATGCGTTCATAAATACTTTGAATTTGAAGCCCGAGTCTGGTGATGAGCAGGTCTGAGGGTATTTAGCTGATACAGCACTGTGAGCACCAGGCTGCCTGCCATGGCCATGGCATTTATCTTCCTTTTCTTTAGGCATCTTAAAATTAAGTGGTTTTGGTGATTCCTGAAAAACAGACGACAATGTGGGGGGGGACCAGCCATCCGTGGGGTGTTGGCGCTGTTTGCACGTGGGTTGCACG